GGTGCCCATCCTCATTTAGTTGGGGTGCATTCCAAAGGAAGATTATTTTATACTTCTTTAGATTATGAAATCTGTGACTTATATCCCCATATTTTAAGAGACATATTATCTAAGAAATAACTTAAAGTAATGGTCAATATTTGAAGTCATTTCAGTGAATTTATGAAGCTAATAAAGCAGGCTAAGTACTTATGATTCTGGTTTTCCAGATTTTTATCATATGCTCAACATTGTGTATAAAAGAAAAATTTCCTAAATTGTAAGTACTGATGTTGCAGTTAACTTTAATATTGATATAACAAAAATTAAAATTAAAATTTTGGATTGTGGACCCTATTGTACCTACAGGATTGTAGTAAGGCTCTGCCATACCCCAAATAGGGCAGATAAAGAAATATTTGATTGATTTGTTTTCAAATACGGCACTATTTTTTATATGCTGTTTGAAGTATTTGAAGTTCAATACACATTTTTTATATGCTCCAATATAATAGAATAAATCAGAGGTCCATGAAACACTTTATAGATCTGAATTCTGTACACAAAAAGAAGGGCTATACTATTTTAGGAGTAATCCTATATAATATTATAAAAGTCTAATATGCTAAGTGTCTGGTCATCCGTTCAACCAAAGTGTAATATGCTAATGATATGCTAAGTCTGCTCAACCGCTCGTTATGACATGCACTGACCACCAGGGGGGAGATGCTCCAACCTGTAGGTTACCTTGCTTCTGGGGTCTGGCTGATCAGGACTGAGCAAAATGGACTGGACACATCCTGGAGCCCTCCTGTGGTCCCTCCCTGGCTGGCTAACCTCCCATGTCCCACCCCAGCCCCAATTGTGCACTGGTGGGATCCCTCAGCCTGGTCTGCACCCTCTTGCAATCCAGGAACTCTCAGAGGATGTCGGAGAGCCGTTTTCAGTTCGATCCTGCAGGCCAGGCTGAGAGATCCCATTGGTGCACAAATTTGTGCACTAAGACTCTGGTATTGTCATATCATTCATAAGGCCGGGTAGCCATTATGTTAATAAATTTTTCTTTTAGCTTCCTAGGCATAATCAAACAATTTAGGATTAAGATGTAGCATCCTTTCACTCTTCTTCTTTTTTTTTTTTTTTTCCAATCCTCACTTGAGGATATATATATTTTTATTGATTTGAGAGAAGGAAACATCAATTAGTTGCTTCCCATAAGCACCTGACTGGGAGTCAAACCTCAGTCTAGGTATGTGCCCTGACCAGGATCTGAACCCACACGTTTTGGTGTACAGGATGACACTCCAACCAACTGAGCCACCTGGCCAGGGTGCAACCACTCACTTTCATTACCAATTTCCTGACTGGATTTTACCCTGGGGTGGGGGGAAGCCTATGTATAATGACCAATAAATATTTACTGAGCTTCTATTATTTGTGACTCTTCTAGGCTCAGACGTGAACAAAACAGACAAAATTTAAATGCCCTTATGAAATTTAAATTGGTGGGATAAGAAATAGCAAATAAGCAAGTAAATAAAGATATGGTATGCTGGTTGTTGCTGAGTGTTATGAGGAAAAATTAAGAAAAAGCAATAGATAAAGGAGTAGTAGGGTGCCAAGGGATGGAAAGACTACCATCTGCCTATTATTCTAATCTTCAAAGTCCCTTAGCTAGGAAATCATTCCCGACCAATCAAATACCAGTGGTTGGTTAATAATTTGTTTTGATTGTATTTTTCCCTTTCACTTATTCCAGAAAGTGGTCAGGCTCCTAGTATTCCCATGTCTTCTGGGGACCAAAAGTAGAGCTTGTCTGTATTCTTGACCTGAGTTCCTTGAGGATGGAAAGGGTGGGCTGGGAATGAGAGGCCAGTGCCTCTGAGAGGGACAGGCAGGGGCAGCACAGCAGAGAAGAGATTCTGTCAGACTTGGAAGAGGATAAAAGTATGTCAGTGCCCTGGGTAGTAGCAGGACCTCCGAGAAAGATGGCAGTCTGGTGCACTAAGGGAGATTGAACCCATGCCATCATGGTCCCCAGCCTCTTTAAAGATTCTTTTGTCCAGGCGTGGCAAAGAAGCTGTTAGACTGCCTGACTTCAAGGGACCTGAACAAAGATGTTATTCATGTAACCACTGTAGATTGCAAAGTAATGATCTGTCCTCACTCTTCATTCACCACATTTCCCCCCCAATTTATATGAACCTGGGGAAAGTAAGGGATGGCTCCAAAAATGACTAAAATAAATCATCTTTTTTGGCTTATGGTTTTCTCATTCAACTTAGAAAAAATAAGATGTTGTGATCTTGCGTACACATTCAAATTTGCAGAGTAAAATTTATCCTGCTATAATGTCAGGCTATCATATCTTGATTAATTCTCATGTAGAGAAGCAATCTTAACATACAAAGCAGCAGGCCCTGGCCAGTGTGGCTCAGTTGGATGAGCATTATCCCATGCACCAAAAGATAGTCAGTTTGATTTTTGGTCAGTGCACATGCTTGGATTGTGGAGTATGTAGAATGCAGCCAATTGGTATTTGTCTCTCCCCTCCCTTCTCTCTAAAATCAGTAAAAAAAACATATTTTAAAAGTTATTTTAAAAATACAAAGCAATAGAAGACATGAGTTTCTGCCAGATTACAGATTTATCTCCACTGGCTTCACTGGGTGGACAAACATATTCTTTTCTTTGAACTGGACACTCCATATTAGTGTATGGTGATAACACAAACCTTATTCAGTAAGTCGGAAGTTACTGAGAAGTGTCATTCAGCTTCCTCAAGCCCTGGGAAATGTAAAAATGATATTAAGGCCTTCTGTCAGCCAATAACATTTGATTAATTGAAACAAGACCATATAAGACAGTAATTTACAAACTTTTCAGTTTTGGACTCGGCCAGGAATTTTCTCAGACATAGAGCACTATCTTTCCCTGTCTAACCATTTGTTTAGTCTCCACCCTCATGCTTACTCCAGTTATTTGCATGCTGTTCATATATTAAGAATACATCTGTCAAGTATTATTTACTTTCATGAATTCACACAAATTTTTAGATTATTTATCTTCCTTCTCTTTCCTTGATGATTACTTATTATTTCCCTCCTCCCCAAATTTAATGAAACCGATTGAGAAAAGTCAGGTTGTCACAGTAATATAAAAAGAATGAAGGACTTGACAACTGGAATATGAAGGTGCCCAGCCCTTTCTAAAGTCTCAACTGAAATCATTGATCTTAATCTTTGACTTCATAAATTTTTAGCTCTTTGAAAATTTGCTAGTTACCTTGAAAATGTCCTTATTAAATGTATGTATTTAAAAATTTGTCTGCGTTTTGTTTTGGGATGGAAGATAAGATGGAAGATCTAAATTTATTAGGTATGGTCAAGTCTAAGTGAAAGGCATAGATCTTTAAAACTACAAAAGCTGAGGACAGCTTGGCCAATGAAGCCCATTGCTAACAGTATCACTGGAAGACTGAAATAAAGTAGAAATAATGGGTACTTTCTATACGTTTAGAATGTGCACCTATCATTTCTTCAATTAAAAATCAAACTCGTAGAAAATGCAATCCATAAGCTGAGACTAAGTCTGGAATTTGCAATTCTAAGTCAACTTTTTGAGTTTAGATGTTTAATTGTTTTACCACTAGGTGGCACATACTTACTGATAAATTCTTAAAAACCCTCACAAGTTTTCCAAAAAGCTCTTCAGTCACCCAAACTTTGCAAACTTCACTGTAACTACATATTGCATTGATTTTTCTCAAGAATTTTTTTTTAACCTTCAATTGTTTAGTGCTATATCAGATTTTTGGTGATTTTTCTCTATAACTTCTTAGCATTCTTACAGCATTTGAATTGCAGAAATGTCTTAAGGCAAATACTAGCTAAGATATCTTTAATTTAGTGTAAATTTTCTAATGTTTATTGAATTTTATATCTCTACTTTTCATATTTTTTCATGTGTAATAACTTAATGAATGAAATTTAAAGATTCTGTGTACAAAGTAGATTTTTATTTGATTATATTGCTTCGCTGCTTTTATACCAAATAAATCAATGTCTAGGACCACATGCAATTTAAGAACCAATTTCTGAATGCTTTTATAATATGCACAGAGATTAGGCAAATGGGTGCTGTGGAGAATACAAAAATGAAATATTATGTATTGCTTCTGTCTTCAAGGATCTTTCATTTTATAGGAGGAGATAGTGAATGCAAATTAACTATAATATGATTCAGAATGTAGTAAATAATTAAATGAAAATATTAAGTGTAATGAGAACTAGATAGTAAATATTAATTTGGAGACTCCAAGAATAAAGTGGAATTTGAGAAGAGCCCAAGTAATTCTTATAGTCATTTTTTACCTAGAGATTCTTCAGTTGTTTTTCTTTTCTAAATACGTGTTTGACAAAACTAAATAAACTTTTATTGAGTGCTTCCTACTCTACCAAACTGTCATTTATTATTTAATTTAATATTCATGAGACCTTTTGATGTATGTACAACTATCCACATTTTATAGATGAAGAATTTGAGGCACAGAAAGTTTAAGGAACTTGTATGAATATGTCAGGTGTCTTCCATAGTACCAAAACTAGATGTGAATTGAATTAATTTTCTTACAATAAGAAACTTAGCTTTTTGATTTTTGCCACTTCAGCATCATTGCTATATTACTTAAGAGGGAATCAACATTATTCTAATAAATGTGTTAACATTGACTACTTTGTTATATTTGTAGTCTTAATTTTTATAACTTTCTAAGTTTTATGTGAATCGTATTTAAATATCTTGAATCAAGAATATGACCCTTTTGGCTATTAACATGCAAAATTTTTACAACTTTGCTGTATTCTAAAATAATAATACAATAATAATCAGAAATCAAAACCTAAATAATATATTATATTATGCTTAAATTAGATTTGGATGCAGCTCAACAGCTAAATCAAATGGATATGCAAACACAATTATATATTTACAATGAATCTTATTTTTCTATGTTTCTGTAGCCAGGAAAATGTGAAAATAAAAAGAAGTGGCATATAAGTGCACTACAAGAAGCATACCATCTTTATGGATATTCTCCAGAGCAAAGATTGGAAATGTGCTGCCTATCAAAACAGGGTATATGATTTTTAATTTTTTTGCCACCCCAAATAAAGATTTACTCAGATCCATGCTTTACAAAATGTGTATACTCATGTAAAAATCTTTTTCTTGCTGAAATCGGTTTGGTTCAATGGATAGAACATCGGCCTGTGGACTGAAAGGTCCCGGGTTTGATTCCGGTCAAGGGCATGTACCTTGGTTGTGGGCACATCCCCAGTAGGGGGTGTACAAGAGGCAGCTGATGGATGATTCTCTCTCATCAATGTTTCTAGTTCTCTATCCCTCTCTCTTCCTTTCAGTAAAAAAATCAATAAAATATATTTTTTAAAAATCTTTTTCTTTACTGGTATATCTTTGTTCATTGAAAAATTACTTTTGTGTAGATTAATAGTATATATTTTACTCTCTGAAACTATTTTCAAATGATAATACATACACTATTTTTTATTTATTTATTATTTTAAAATATATTATTATTGATTTCAGAGAGGAAGGAAAAGGGAGAGAGAGACAAAAGCATCAATGATGAGAATCATTAATCAGCTGCCTCCTGCAACCTCCCCCCACCTCACTGGGAATTGAGCCTGCACCCAGGCATGCCCTTGACCGAAATCAAACCTGGGACCCTTCAGTCAGCAAGCTGATGCTCTATCTACCGAGCCAAACTGGCTAAGGCCATACACTCTATTTAAATACAGGGATTTTAATTGCTGTGTCATCTTTGCTCTTAGATTAACTATATAGGTACTCTTGTATATTTCAAAACATATATTTCAAAATTGGAAACTATGGCTTTAAAATATATTCCTGGGGTGAAACTTTCATTGGATATGCTGTAGTATTTCAGAACAAAGTATTTTTAAATAAATTCAAGACAGAGATAAAAGGTGATCCTCAATTATCTTTTTAATTGGGTGAAAAAATATTTTCAAAGAAAGTTTTTAAATTATATTTATACATAGCTTTTTAAATGGATTCATCATAAGAATATAGCAGGTATAACATTTTTTAACTCTAAAAAATTATGATTATCACATAAAATGTTGATTTTCAATAAGCTTAAATGTTTTTAAATGTTTCTTCTTAGTAATCATAATTTTCTATCTTACGAAGGCCCCTTTTCACTTTATCAATGTAATTTTTTAAAATATATTTTATTGATTTTTTTACAAAGACGAAGAGATAGGGAGAGAGATTAGAAACATCGATGAGATAGAAACATTAATCAGCTGCCTCCTGCACCCCACTGGGGATGTGCCCGCAACCAAGGTACATGCCCCTGACCAGAATCAAACCTGGGACCCTTGAGTCTGCAGGCCATTGCTCTATCCACTGAGCCAAACCGGTTAGGGCTATCGAAGTAATTTTTTTTCTCCTTTGGAAAAATTTAATACACACATTTTAAAACTTACATGTGAAAACATTTGAGAAAATCCTATATAATAAAAGCCCAGTAACCAAAACTGTGGAATGACCAGAATGATCAGAGACCAGAACACCACAGCCCCTCGCCCAGGCTGGCCCTGGCCCCCCAGGATTGGTTGGGGTGATCAGGTAGTTGGGCGAATGTTTAGGGGCAATCAGGCAGACAGGCTGAGGTGGTTAGGGTGATCAGGCAGGCAGGCTAGTGGTTAGGAGTGATCAGGTAGGCAGGCTAGTGGTTAGGGGTGATCAGGCAAGAAGGCAAGCAGTTAGGAGCCACTGGTCCCAGATTGAAAGGGAGATGTCTGACTGCTGGTTTAGACATGATCCACAGCGGGATCAGGCCTAACCCCGCAGTTGGACATCCCCTAGAGGTCCCAGATTATGAGAGGGTGCAGGCAGGGCTAAGAAATCCCCCCTCTGTACATGAACTTTGTGCACCGGCCTCAAGTGTTTAAATATCAATCCAGCCCCCTAACTTTAGTTTTTAAAGCAAATATGTAGGTTAGAAATGAGTAGAAAAAGAATAACAAGACATTACTCTTACTTATTCTTAAGACTGGGAAAAGAGACATTTATAATAATAAATGTGATTTTATTCCTTGTGCTGTAAATATAATGTCTCCGTTACTAGCAATAAAGGTTGAATTCACTCTGTTGTCACAAATACAATTATATGCTATGCATGAACTATAGATTTCTATTATATAACCAAAATAAACTTTGAATAATTTTGTTTTTTAAAACATAGTGCCTGAAGAAATATAGTCATTTACTTTAAAAATTATACTACAGCCATTTCACATGAGCAGTAGATCCACTCTCCCAATAAGTTCTGGAACTGTCTTTGCTGTTGTTGTACATGGTGGGGTATTTATGTCTGGGTCTTTGAGCATGGGTCCTCTCTGGGCTTGTCCAGAGAGACGGGTTATTTTCTCTCAGGTGTGCAGCAACAGAACATTTTCTATTGGAAGGCTGATGATTTTTGCATGTAGAATCTGATGTGATTCAGCCTGATTATTGAGAATCTTATGTCTAACGCCTTTCATTTTCTCTGAAGTAGCAAAAATTGAGGGGCGGGGACAGACTACTATGAGTGCAGTCTTTGCCATAACTGTCTCACTCCCCTTCTTTCACCCTTCACTATCTCCATAATAGACAATTTAGTCCTAAGTCTGGTCTTCTTTCAGGGTGAATTCTAGTATGCATTTAGCTTCTTATTCTGTTCAAAAGTAGTATGAGAGATAATTAGCTACTATTTAGATACTTTACAAAAGGTGAGTAACTCACCTGCAAACCTTTTATTTAATCCCAGCAACTTTGAGGATATCTTCACTCAAAAATTTCTTCTTCCAATCCAGAAATAATAACTACTAAATTTTGGGTCTTATTTCTTCCTGCCCTGCAGAAATTGGCTCACCATTATGTTTGATGCCGCTCTTTCTTTGTCAATATCTACAGAATCAGTAAATGACATGTAAATATAGACCCAATCAGACTATGACAAATTTTAAAGTCCTGTCCACATGATTTGGTTGTCCTGTATCTGTTGTATTGACTATTACTCCCAATAAGTGATTCTTCTGCTGTGATTAGGAAGCTTTTTCTTATATTGAAACATTCATTATAATTATATTATTAAAACAAATGGTCTCTTTATAATTGAGCCTTAGGTTTTTGTATTATTATAGAATTAATATTTTCTTACATGCTCTATATTTTAGAGTAGCTGATCCTATCTCTATTTTTTTCAGAATTATTTTTTAAAAATAAACTTAGTTTTTTAGAGTAGTTTTAGGGTCACAGCAAAATTAGGCAGAAAGTAGTTTCCATACGCTCCTTACCTCATCACTAGCAACATTCCTCATCAGAGTAGTAGATTTGTTACAATGGATGAACCAACTTTGACACATCATTATCCCCCAAAGTCCATAGTTTACATTAGGGTTCATTATCTGTGCTGTATATTCTATGGGTTTTGGTTTTGACAGATGTATAATGGCATGTATTCACCATTGTATTATCATACAGAATCATTTCACTGGCCTAAAAGTACCCTGGGTTCCATTTCTCCTCTTTCCCCATCTCTCCACCAATAACTGGCAGTCACTGATCTCTTTACTGTTTCCATAGTTTTGCCTTTTACATAATGTCATATAGTTGGAATCAAATAGATTCAGTTTGGGTTCTTTCACTTAGAAATATGCATTTAAGTTTCTTCCATGTCTTTATAGCTCTTTGTTTTAACACTGAATAATATTACATAGTTCGCATGTACCAGTTTATCCATTGACCTACTGAAGGACATTTTGTTGGCTTCCAAGCTTTGCCAGTTATGAATAAAGTTGCTATATTCACTCATGTATAGATATTTGGGTGGATATAAAAATTTTCAGTTCCTTTGTTAAATAACAAGGAATACAACTGCTGGATATGTGGCAAGAGTATGTTTAGTTCTATAAGAAACTGGCAAATTATCTTTCAAAGTGGCTGTGCCACTTTGCATTCCCACCAAGCAGTGAATGACAGTTCCTGTTGCTCCACATTCTCACAGTATTTGGTGTTGTCATTGTTCTGGATTTTGGCCATTATAATAGGTGTGTTGTGGTATCTCATTGTTTTAATTTGAAACTCTAAATGACATTTGATGAACAGCCTTTTTCATATGCGTTTGCCATTTGTAAATCTTCTTTGCCCATTTTTAATTTAATCCAGTTAATTTTCTTATTAAGTTTTAAGAGTTCTTTGTATACTTTATCTATAAGTTCTTATCATATATGTATTTTGTGAACATTTTCTTCTACTCTGGGGATTATCATCTCATTCTTTTAATGTCATTTGCAGAACAGCAGTTTTTAATTTTTATGAATCCAGATTATTATTTATTTTTTATGGACTTTGCTTTGGTGTTATATCTAAAATTTCATCTTCTAGATTTTCTTCTATGTTACTTCTGGGAGTTTTTTGTTTTGCATTTTAAATTTAGATGTGTTATCCATGTTGAGTTATTTTGTGTGAAAGATATAAGGTCGGTGTCTAGATTACATTTTTGGCATGTGGATATCTAGTTATTCCAACAGTATTTGTTGAAAATACTGTTTTTTCCCCTTTATATTGCCTTTGCTTCTTTGTCAAAGATCAGTTGGCTGTATTTATTATTTCTGGGTTATTTAATCAATTTCATTGTTTAATTTTTTATTAGCTTTCTCAATACGCACTGTCTTTATTATTATAGTTTTACTAGACGCCCTTGTGCACCAGTGGGGTCCCTTGGGCTGGCCTGTGCCTTCTTGCAATCTGGGACCCTTCAGGAGATGTCGGAGAGTTGGTTTCAGCCCGATCCCCACAGGCCAGGCTAAGGGACTCACTGGTGCACAAATTCATGCACCAGGCTCTAGTATGCATATAAGATCTTGGGTTAATCTCTTTCCTCCCTCCCCCCTTCCCCTCTTCCCTCTGAGATTCATCAGTCTGTTCCATGTTTCCATGCCTGTGGTTTCCACTTCTGTGTTGAGTGTCTGCCCCTTGTTGGTCAGTGCATGTCATAGCTACTGGCCAGTCAGCTGGTTGGCCAGTCCCTTAGACTTTTATATATATACATAGATGTTAAGTCTTGCAGTCAGGTAGAGTCAGTCCTTTGACTTTGTCCTTTTCATTATTGTGTTAGCTATTTTGGACCTTTGCCTTTCTATATAAACTTTAGAATTAATTTGTTGATTTCTACAAAATAACTTGTTGGGATTTTGATTGAGATTACATTGAATACATAGATCAAGTTGGAAGAACTCACATCTTGACAATATGGAGACTTCCTATAAACAAATATCTATAACTATATCTACATTTATTTTGTTTTTTGATTTTGTTTATCAGAATGTTTTAGTTTTTCTCATAAAGATATCTTGTTGATGTTTTGTTAGATTGATGCCTAACTATTTCATGTAAATGGTAAAGTGTTTTTAATTTTAAATTGATGGTAAATAGGATTTTATGTATTAACCTTACTATCAGCTACACAGATTATCATGTCATTTGTGAACAAAGTTGCTTTTATTTATTCTTAATCTGTAATTTTTCTTGTCTTATTGCTAGGAATTCCAGTACAACATTTAAAAGAAAAGAATAGTGAGGGGGAACATTTTTTATTTATTCCTCACTTTAGCCAAAAAGCTTGGAGTTTCTCACCATTATAATGTTAATTATAGGTTTTTTTTGGTAGATTCTCCTTATACAGTTGAGGAAATTTTACTCTATTCCTTGTTTGCTAAGGACTTTTATCCTGAATGCATGTCAGATTTTGTGTGCTTTATCTGCATCTAATATGATCAGGTAACTTTCCTTCTATAGCTTGTTGACATCATAGATTATATTAATCGATTTTGAATGTTGAACCAGCTTTGTATACCTGGGATAAGTTCCACTTGGTTGTGTGTATAATTCTTTTTATACATTGTTGGATTTTATTTGCTAATATTTTGTTGAGATTTTTTTTCATCTAAATATGAAAGATATTAGTCTGTAGTTCTATTTTGTCTTTATTTGGTTTGGTATTAGAGTAATAATGGCCTCATTGAATGAGCTAGCAAGTTTTTCCTCTGCTTCTGTCTTCTAAATTAGTTTGTAAAGAATTGATATAATTTTTTCCTTAAATGTTTGATTGAATTTACCAGTGAACCCATATGGGCCTGATACTTTTTATTTTGGAAGGTTATAAATATTGATCCATTTTTTAAAGTAACAATGGCTGTTTCTTCTTGTGTGACTTTTGGCAGAAATCTTAGGAAGATTGAGACTTATAGTCAGATGGGTCTGGCCCCACTTCATGACCTCAGGCAGAGTATTTAACTTCAATGTCCTCAACTGTGAAGGTGGGATGGGCTGCATACTTTGCAAGATTATCATGAGGATTAAATAAAATTATATCTATATAAAGTCTTTATCTCATGTCTGGCGTGTAGTAGATATGCAAGTAGAAGTAGCTGAGATTTAATTCTGGATTCTATATACTCTAGAGCAGCAGTCACCAAGGGGTGGTCCATGGACCACTGGTGGTCTGTGAGGTTCAAAAGGTTGGTGACAGCTGCTCTAGAGCACATAAACTGATCAGAATCTAGAAATACGATAAGTGTGATGCTAAATAAAGGACATCCAATCAACCAGTCATACTTAAGAAAACATGTTTGTTAAATCAGTATACAAATCTCTGATGTTGTTGTTATTTTGCATTACTGTGTTCTACTCAAATCTGGTAAGCTGAATGTATTAGCATTCCGATAAAAAAACCAAAACACTGAAAACATATTCCACAGTATTAGAAAGTGGAAAATTCTGATTGTGTAATTTTTCATTTATTTGAACAGGAGCATAGGTACTGTTTTTGAAGCAGCCATATTTTATTATTTTACAGATAAATCCAAAGCAGATGACAAAGTTGCTGTCATGGCAAACAGAAGGGTAAGATGATGGTTTATTATGTAAAGTATACAGACTTTAGATTCCATTTGATTAATACATTTTTTAAAAATTAAATGAATATTTAAAAACAAAATAACAATAAAATGTTTCTTCTGTTAGTTGACTATGTTTTCTTTTTTAGATTGACACTAGAAATTTAATATTTATGGTTATATCAGTGTTACAGAATTATCAGAAGTTAGAATAGAAAATTTTAATTTCAACATAAATTTTATTTTATTTATGTTATTGTTCACATGTATACTTTCATATACTAAAATATTTTATTTTTTTATATGCCATGATATTATAATGTGTGTAATCTCATGGAAAATATAAACAATTCATATTCACAACGTAAGTGATATTACCTAAAGTTAAGTGAGAACAGCAGCCATTTGAATGAATTTAAACCTAGAATTTTTTTTGAGGGGGGGTGGTATTTATAAAGTCACTAGCATTCTTTTTTTTTTTTTTAATATATTTTATTGATTTTTTACAGAGAGGAAGGGAGAGAGAGAGAGAGCTAGAAACGTCGATGAGAGAGAAACATCGACCAGCTGCCTCTTGCACACCCCCTACTTGGGATGTGCCCGCAGCCAACATACATGCCCCTAACCGGAATCGAACCCGGGACCTTTCAGTCCGCAGACCGACGCTCTACCACTGAGCCAAACCGGCTTCGGCAAAAGTCACTAGCATTCTTAAAGAATTTGAAAATTTTTAACACATCATTCAGTGTATTGTGTGCAGAGAGATGTTTAATTGTACTTACTGTCAAAATAGGGTTAGGATTAACCTTGACATTGTCTTCAAGGTTAGACAGTGGTATCCTTTAATAGGATACCACTGAAAAAAGAAGAGTCAATGCTTAAATTCTTCTGAACAAATAATATATTGATGTCATAAGAAAAAGAATTGTGATTGAAAGGAAAGCCTATATCTGTGATATTTTCTGTGTTGAGTGATGGGGTTGGTGCAGAGTGGATCCAGGAAGATTGAGTATAACCTGGGGGAACGAAAAGGATGTTGGATAATAACCAAGATGAATAGGCAATGAGGTGAACATTGGTGTGTATTCTGAATATGTATATTTAATGAGTCCTTTTAAAATCAGATTTTATTTTACTCCTTTGCTTTGGAGTTGTAAAAAGAATCTGGACTATTTACTTGTTAAGTAATATTTATGTGCCTTTGCAGAGAGGGATGCAATGTCATAGAAAGCAATATTGCCTTTTGAAAAAGAAAAGAAATAGGACATGTATGTCTATCTGAAGATTTGGACATGATTATGTGAGGTAGCACAGAATTGTTAATGTAGATGGAATTGTTTATTTCAGTCTCTGCTAAAGGATACTTAGAATAAAAAATGACAAGGTTAATAATAACTGGCATCCTATATAATAATCCTATATAATAAAGAAATAATATGCAAATTGACCATCACTCAAACACACAAGATGGACGCTCCCAGCCTTGCCTGGAACAGGTCCCATGTCTCTGTGTCCCATGGCCCTGTGCAGGAATAATGATCGCTGCAAGCACCTCTGAGAGAAAACTGCCCTTGAGTTCTGCCTGATGCCAGACAGTCCAATTTCTTCCTATATGAGTCTGGGTCCCTAAAGTATCGCCCAGAACTGGAGTTCAGAGCAGTTGGGTGCTTGTATCTCCCTCCAGATTGAAAAAGACAACAGCGTACTCAGTTGTCACCCCTTTCCGCATGTGTGCACTCCTCTGTACCTCTGCACTTCACTGCTGCACCTCTGTACCTCCTCCAAGTCTCAGTGTGCTTTTCTCTTTCCTTCTTGTATAATTTCCACTCAGCCAGCCTTCCCGTGTTTCTGGATGATACTCATTTTGTCTTTTAGTTGTAGTTTTGAAGTGGTTGTGTGAGGCAGCAAGTTCAGATGTTTATGCCACCATCTTGGTTTCTCCCGCTATATTGCTTTACCTTTACCAGTGATTCTCAATGATGGTAGTACTGTGCTTAGTAAAGTGTTATTCAAAGTGTGGTCAAGAGACTATAGCTGTTCTGTGCACTATTTACTTTTGGTGTTTAATGAGATAAGAAAATAAAATGAGAGAATTTATAAATTTGTATAATAATTTGACTGTAATTTTGGTCTGTTGATTATATTAATAAAATGGAACTTATGTTTTGTATTTACTTTTTTTTTCTAGTGACTTTTCCCCCATGGTGATTTGGAAAAAGTTTGTAAGGTATAGATTTTGAACAGATTGGATGGAAAACTGCTCCTTTTCCATAGATAGTTTAAAAGACATTGTTCTATGGGCTCTTTTAGGAATTTGTGGAAAAGCATGTATTGTGATATAGTAATTTGGGTGAATACTAGGCATTTTTAGGGCAAATCTTAAGGAAACTGAATATCTTGCAATGAATGGAACAAATGTATAGCAAGAACTGCCCAACAGTTGGCATGACTTTTGAATGCACAACTGGATGACTCAACAAACTTCAGACCTACCTGTGGTGACATAATACAAAATAATGTGGTAACATGCTAAACAAGAAGGCAAGGGATTTATAAGGCTTATTATGGAGAGAGAAGTTGAAATGAAATAAATATACTGTTCTTGAGATCATTGAATACTTAATCTCTACTCAACATATTGTAATATTTCAACTATATGTTTAGCCATAAAGAGTAGAAATGCAGTTACTCAGAGCTCTGTCTGCAAGCCTCTAATCATCTCATAGTCTCCATTCTTCAGCTCTTCATCCATGTGGCTACTGCTAAGATAGATGTGAGTTGTGTAGGTGCACCCACCTGACCGCATCTCTGCTCAATGGCAGCAGTCTGAGTGAAAAAGAATAAGTCACTCTTAATTGTTTTTTATTTTAAAAAGAAGGGGAAGATCTAGATTGCTCTAAGTCCCTTCCTGCTCTAATACTCAATGAGCAATAAAATATTTATAAAAGCTCAATAAGTACTTTTAGAATGTCAAAAGGCTAGTGTAGACCAGAGTAAATATCTAAGTCAATTAGCCTAGAAATAAAAATAATTTTAAGTGAATAATAGCAATTGTATGCCAGGAGTAGTATCTATGATACACCAGAATCTATGATACACCAGATGGTGTATCATAGATTATGGAAAGTGTGTGTGTGTGTGTGTGTGTGTGTGTGTGTGTGTGTGTGTGTTTAGGACACAGAAAATTACGGTGGAAAGAATATATATTTTTGAATGAGCCAAATATGCCTTTAAGAGCTAATTCTGCTACTGAGTTTTGTGATGTTAGGCAAGTTAATGCTTCTGAACCTCATTGAATTAATCTCTGCATTGGGAACAATAATAATCACCTTGTATGATTGCTATAAAGGTTAATAAGAAAAGCAATTATAATAGCATATAGTTAATATATTTTAGTAGGTGCTTGTATAATAAATGCTAGCACTTTTCTCCCTAATTTCTCCTTAAAGCAAGATAGAAAGTGAGGACTTTAGGACATTTAAAATTCTCAGACTTGTAATAGCATCATAGCTCTATTAGATAGTTAAGATTATGTAGAAGTTTTTTGTTTTTTTTTAAGAAGGCCCACATTTTAATCATGATTATTTTTTTCAAAGTAATGTTATAACATTGTATTTGGAATTTTAAAAATAATCTAAGAGTCATCACTTAATTAAACCAAGTTTTATTAATTTAATGCATTTATTTATAGTTATTTCTTTATACACATGTCTAAAGGTAATATGTTTAAGTATATATACATTCTTAACATAAATGGAATGAATTCAAACTTTACTGTTTCCCTTAATAATATTTTATTAACATCTCAAATCATATCTGCCAAATCTTAAGTGTTTTCAGAGCATTTTATTTTATGGAAATGTCTTAACTTATTGAACAATCTCTTAGACATTTAGGTTTCTTTTATTTGCAAAATTACAAATAAAAAAGCATCAACATCATTATATGCAAATTTCTGTAGATGCTTACAGGAAAGATTGCTAGAAGTAGGCTTCTAGTAAAAAGCACATTTTAAATTTTGCAAATTTGCCTAACATCCTTTACCAAAAACCCTTCCAACATTATTGTTACAGTTACAGTCCCATCATTAGTTTAAGGGAATGAGTGGTTTAGCTTGCCAGTTCTAGCCATTTTATAAACAGTCTTTTTTTTTTTTTCTTTAAAAGTTAATTCTTTGCCAATATGTTGCAAACATTTTTTTTTTTAGTTTTTCTTTTAAAATTTATGTAATTCTTTAGCTATACTTATATAGTAAAACTTTTCTCTTGGGGCTTTAGAGTTTTTGTGATATGTTTTGAAAGATTGCTCTTTTATTAAAACAAAACATATCGCAATTCACTTAACCTTTCTCCTATTGCTACTGGTAACAATTGGATGAAAAAAAACTAGAGCAAAATGAATAAAGAGACAAGTTAGGTGATAGAGCCAGCCAGGATTCTCTCTGTTCATTTTGCTTCAGTTGTGTGTTTTTTTTTTTCAGTATAGAATATTACTTATTTCTAATTAAGGCTACCTCAAGAACATGTTACTAATGGCAAAAAAATACCTTTTTCATTCTGTTTGATAATTTTTTGTTTATATATAAAAATTATGTGCGTATGTATGGGCATTCCTTCCCTTCCCCTCCCCCTCCAACTTTACTTTTATTAACTTACTAGAGGCCAGATGCACGAAGATTCGTGCAAGAATGGGCCTTCTGTCCCCTGGCTGTGGGTACTGCCTTCACTCTGGCCCAGAGCCACCTTTCTGCCTTAGCTCAGACCTGGAGCTGCCTTTCCACCTTCCCACACTGCCCAGAGGCCCAGAGAAGCTGGGGCAATGTGGAACACCTTCATTGTCACCATGGCGATGACGTAAGCATCCCTTCCTTGGCGGCTTGACACCTGTGTATACAATTTAACCCACCATCTTTGTTGGATTCATTTGCATGCATACTCCTGATTAGCTGGTAAACCTAAGCCTAAGTCTAAGCCTAGTTAAGCCTAAGACTAAGCCTAGTTAAGCATA